CCAGCCAGTTCCTGCTCACCGGGGCCCAGGAAACAGAGTGGACTGGCTCCCCCAGGGGCTCCGGGGCTGGGGTCTTGATGAGGGAGCCCTGGAAGGCACAGTTGTAAAGTAACTGGAGAAAGCACGATGGTGGAAAGGCTACCATGTGCTCGACCCCCAATTCGGTCAGTTGTGATCCATAAGGTTGATTTGTTTTTTCATTTATTCTTTGGCTGATGGTTCCGAAGGACATCACCAGGCCTTTCTTCCTCCTGTGGAAGATGATCAGTAAGGAAAGGAAGTAGGTGGGGTTGCAGGGATGTGCCAAGGGGAGAGAAGACAAGCTGGACCCTATGATCGGGTGGCAGTGCTGCCTTTTCCCTAAGCTGAAAGTAGCCGTGCATCTCGCCTGTTGGTGCAGGGCGTTTGGTTCTTGGGCATACCTTCTAGAACCGAAGAGAAGAAACGGCACAGAAGCAGCCTCTGCTTCCTGTGTCAACTCTTCCAGGGTCAGCCTTTTTATTTTCAAGAAGGAGGATGCTGTCGAGTTCTGGAGTGCAACCATTTGTTTTGTAGGAAGGACATTTATGGTAGCAGTACATTTTTGAGATGGCTTTGCCTCCTCTCTTTCTCAGGGTTGTTTCCCGAGCATAGGTTGGGTTTGGACACTAATAATTGCGGGCAGTGCACTGAACTTCCAAACAATTATGTGGCGGTGTCCTGTTCTATGACCGGGTAGGTCCTGGTTCTTAATGACGCTGGGTATCAAAAGCGCCCCATTGAAGTATCCTTTAAAAAGTAAACAAAAACAAACAAAGCCACAGCAAACGAGTTGTGGTCCTGGTGACCTCGAGTGTGCCAGAGGAGCGTCGTACCTCCAACTCTTGAGCAGGTGAGCACTATAATCATTCACATAAGCAAGTGACTCCTTTGGTGTGCTAAGCAAACATAGTCCATCAAAAAGCTGTCCCTTCTTATTGCCCATCGAACAGTTCACTTTGCCTCTGTGACTTCCATTCGGGAAAGAGGGACATTCCTGAGTTGCAATTCTTGCAGGTGTACAGGTAACAGGCAGATGTGCAGACGGTTCTTTCAAGCCCAGGTAGAGTTGAGGAGTCTACTTACAGATAGGTCACGCTTGGAACTTTCATTGGAAGTAGCTTTTTGTTTAAGGAAAGAAAAATCAATGAAGCTTTTCATTTTGAGATACCTGTAGCTCCAGGTGTAGAATAGCCCAGAGAGGCAGTGTACACTGGCCAGTTCCCCCCCATGCTCACTTGTACAAGACTCGGACGGGATCGTGTCTGGGGTTTTGACATTGACTCAGCCAGTGTAGCAGTTGGATTGTCCCACTGCATGGACCCCTCCTTTGTAGCCACTTCCATTTCGACAACCCCTCGCCTCTTCTCCCCGCCTATAATTTTGCCATCTTAAAAATGAAATGGAATTACACTGCAGTTACGATCTTTGTGAGATGGCTGTCTTCACTCGCAGGTAGAAGTGCCCCCTGTGGGTTTCCAAGACTTTAACTCTCTATGGGCATTAGAAAGCCACCTCTTTCTCCTGTGGAGGGGCTGGTTGGATTCGAACTGCTGACCTTTCGGGTAGCAGCCCTGTGCATTATCCTCTCCAAAGCCCATACCATGGTGTATTTGCCCATTCGTCCACTGGAGGACATCGAGTCATTTCTAGTCAACGTTATTATCAATCAAACTACTCTGAACCTCCTGGACGGGCTCTGTGTGAAAATAAGTTCTCGTTGCCCCCGAGTAAATGAGCCAGAGTGAAGTTTCTGGGCAATAATGGCAGTTGCAAATTTTGGTTTATAAACTCTTGCCCAACCGTTTTCCAGGGTGACTGCAGTATTTCACATTCTCACCAGCAATGGAAGCGATCCAGTTCCTCCACATGTTTGCCACCAAGTGATGTTGTCACCGCTTTTTATTGGTAACCATTCTGGTGGGTGTGAAGGGATATGTCGTTGTGGTTTCCACCCGTGGTTCCCTAATGGCTAAGGACTGTAAATATCTGTTCGTGTACTTAATCGCCATCTGTTGGTCCGCATGGGTGAAGTGGCTCTTCGTGTCCTTTGCCCATTTTGCAGTTTGTTTGTTTCGCTGTTGCATTTTGGAGAGTTCGTTGTGTAAATTTTATGTTATATGTGCCCTTTGTGAGAAACATGATTGACACATATTTTCTCCCATTTTGTAGCATGTTCTTTCATTTACAGAAATGATCTTGCAAAGAACAAGTTTGATACTTCAGTGGGATCTCGTTGGTCAGTTTTTTTCCTCTGGTGGATTGCACGTGTTTGTGGTGTCAAGTTTAAGAGCTCTTTGCCTAGCCTAGATCACAAAGATTTCCCCCTATGGTTAAAAAAAAAAAAATCATAGTTGTATATGTGACATTTAACTTCATGACCCATTATAGTTAATTTTGTGTACAAGATTCAAGGTTTAGGCTGCGGTCATTTTTGTTTGTGTCTGCATATTCAAAACTCAAAGCAGATGGCAACAAACAGTTACTAAGGAAACCAGACTAAAAACAACAACCCCAAACTGCCATCGAGTTGATTCTGACCCATAACGACCCTATCACACAGAACAGAACTGACTGTGGATTCCCAAGACTATAAATCTTTTTTAAAAACTTTTATTGGCATGTCATCCACATATCATACACTTCAGTAATTCAATCATATCAAGAAATCAAGAAGAGTTGTACGATCTTTACCACAATTAACTTCAGAACATTTTCTTCTCAAGACTGTAAATCTTTAAGCGGGGGTGGGTGGGGGGCGGGGGTGAGCCTCATCTTTTCCCCAAGGAGTTGGTTGTGGAGTTAATCCAGTGACCTTGCTGTTAACAGTCCAATCCATAACTCACTGCTCCCCAGAGATAACACCAGGAGGGTACAGTTTAGTTGGCACTAGGAAACAGTAAGCAAGAACTCAAGCAGCATACAAAAATTTAGGTTTTTATTTTATGGACGGTAATCGTGTGTTTAGGGGGAAAATACACATTAAAAAAAAAAAAACCTCCCAGAAAACAATCCAAAACAACCTCCAGATCCTGCATTATTGTGGTAACAGTGATTCATTTCCTCCTCTTTTTTGGAAAGACACAGAGAGCCAACTGTTTTATGTGAGTATGTTTTTACCCTGCTTTGCTGCAGGCAAGGCCCGGCAGCTCTGTGGCTTAGGCACTGGAAGACTAAGCCACCAGCTAGCTGCTCTGCTTTTTGAGAAACACGAGCCTGGCTGGCTATCAGCGCCCTTTGGAGCCTGGGTAGCGTAGTGGTTGTGTGTTGGGCTGCTGCATGCAAGGGGAGCAGTTCGAAACCACCAGCCAACCGCTCGGCAGGAGAAAGGCAGGGCTTTCTACTCCTGTGAGGATTTTACAGCCTCAGAATCTGCCCCCCCGGGACCCAGAGCAGTTCTGCTCCTCCTGCAGGGTCTCTATGAGTTGGAATCAACTTGGTGATTAGTCTGCTCATGTCAAGACTCACAGTCTCAGAAAACCCCGTGGAGCAGTTCTACTTGAAGGTCCCTCCGGGTCACTGGGAGTCAGTCACATGGACAGCAGTACGTTTTGTTTGTTTTCGCTCCAGGAGAATGTGAAAGCAACTTAACAACAAGACAACAAGATAAACTAAAGAACACTTGACGGGCAAAAGTGGTCTGAGGGAAAGTAAGATGAGAGGCAGGCCTGAGATTGGGGTGGCCAAGACATGCCGTGAGATTTTCCTTGTTAGCTTCAGCAACTTGCACAGAGGCGTGATACCAGCCTCATTTAATGAGTGCCTGGGTCCAGGGCAGCTGACATCCTTTCACCTGGCGCCAGGACTCCCATTGTCCTGCGAGGTTCATTCATAGCAGGAGTCCAGAGCATGCCTGGCGAGGCCTCTGCAGGTCTGTCGGTACAGCTGGTGGTCTGGGAAAGCTAACACCCAGAAGCCTAGCACCCAGCAGCCCCCTCAGCGCACACTGCTATTCACAGCTGCTGCGGCACAAGTGTCACAGTTGGCGAGTAACGGGGAGACGTACGGGGAAGGTTTAAGGAACATTGGAGGCTGCCCGTTATTCTTGGTAAGAACAAAGCATCTTTGATTTGAAGCGTTTGTGCCCGCATGGTTTCCATACATACTTTTGATGTTGTTGGCTTTTGCAAGTGTTTTTTTGTTTTTGTGTTTGCTCTGGGGTGTGTACTTTCTACTATCTATTCAGGGAAAGCGTACGCAGCAGCTGAGTTTCACATTTCGACCATTTAGACGCACGTTGGTTCTGTGACACAGGTTTCCAGCCCTGTTCCCATGTTTAGGACATGTGAGTGGCCTTTTAAGAGACAGCCAGGCTTCCTGGTTTGTCATTATTATTTATTATTAAGTTCTGTGTGAGTTGCCCTTCACTCGGTGTGGAAGTGAGACGGGAGCTCCCTCTGAACTTGACCTTGCCGGTTCCTGGCCCTGTCTGTGCTGTTACCCGGTTTTCCATCTGGTCTCAGGGAGTGTCAGCCCAGTTCCTCCTGACGTCTGAATAAGCGTTTGCCGCGAGAGGAAGGGGAGAGAATATTTGGAGCGTTCGACCTAGCCTGTAAACTTTCCAATAGAGCTGTTGCCATCCGATCAGCATGTTATTACTTTGTGACGGCTTCAAGTCGAAGGTCATGTTGCTGTTTTGAACTTCAACACTGGAGTCTCGGAAGAGCACCCGGCTCACCCGATTCCGTATGGTTGTCGCCTGCGATTGTATCTTTTTAAATTTTCTCTCTCAAGCCAGCCGGGAGGCAATGTGGACAATCTAATTGCACTGGAAGCCGCTGCTGGCCCGGGCCGTGTGGCAACAGCTGATGGGCTCTGCGGAGGTTCAGAAGCTATTTCTGGAGGATGAGATGGGATCCAGGCTCTCCGTTCAGGCCATAAAAGGCCCGGCCCCCGTGGAGTTGCCCTGCTGTGTGGCGGCCGTCCTCGAGGCTGAAGCGTCCTCGGGTTTCACATGGACCGCGCAGCCATGGATGCGCACTCCGAGGCCAGGCGCAGGGAGCTCGACACCCAGGACTCGAGGGGTCCCCCGGCGGTGAAAAGGAGACCCCTCTTCCCGATCCTTTGGCACGCTTGCTTCCCAGAAACTTGGGGGCTGTAGCCCATCCCCTGCCCACCTTGTGTGCTGCCCACAGGCTGTTTTGGAAAGCACCGCGCTAAATTTATCCTGCTTCGGAATCGTCCCGGCTGGCAGACGCGCCTGTCTTCTCCTTTGCACTGCGGCTTCTGGTCTTTGGGTGCGATGTGACTTGCGGGAACACCTCGCTTTGGAAGTTTCGCTTAGGATTTGAAAGTAGCGATTCGGAGACTCAGCAAATAACACCTGAGGGCATCCAAGAAGCCGGCTTAAAGGCTGTCAGGTTTTTTTTCTTCCTTCCTTAGCGTGAGAAGAAGAAGGAATTGCGGTGTGATTTTTTTTACCCCCCTTTTGATTTAAGAGGATTATACCAAAATTTGATGTAAGTGTGTGTGTGTGTGTGTGTGTTTGGGGGGTGGCTTCCTATAAGCCCTTTGCGGGGTTTTGTTGTATTTTGTGTTAAGTGCCACCTGTCTGAGCACGCTTCCTAAGCAGTCGCTGATTTCAAACCCTGGAATGTTCCTGCCCGGATCCCCTGGTTATTACAGTTAACTCTTCTCCTTACCCTGGGGCAGATTGGCTCGGGGAGGGGAGGGATTTTTTGCCAGCACCCCCCCCCCCACTTAAAAACAAAAGGGAGGGGTGGTACAGAGAGGTCTCCTGCTAACCATTGGATTGAGGGGACTTGGTAAGCATGTTCTGTCTAAACGTGGGCCTGGGAGCTGTGCCATCGAAAACCTCACCATGATACAGAGGTCGCTACGAATCCTATCGTAGGGGTGGGGCGGGGAGGGGGAGCTGAGAAGGGCAAGTGTTTCTCTCTCACGTGGACGTGTTGGTCGACCCATGCGTGTGCGTGATCTCTGCTCAGAGGTTCTTTGCCCTGCAGCTTTCATGTGCCGGATTTGGTCCCCGGGACCTCTGGGGTGCCAGAGGTAGAAGCAGAGTCTTGTCTCCATTTCTTGATTTCGATTGGTTTTGTTTTTTGAAGTCTCCACAGGCGGGCAGGGGGGAATCTGTGTCTCAGCCTTTCGAAGTCCAGAGGTAGCTTTGCTGGTCTCTGTGTAATTGCATTTGGTGATTCCCTTCTGCTGCAAAGTAGCCGGGAGCTGTAGAACCTTCAGGGCTGACCTGACCTGTGCCCTCACTTAGAAAACCGGAATGCCCATGGAGAAGGACTTTATCCTCAAAGGCTTTAGTGACTCTCCCCTTGAGGTACCCCTGAACCCCTCAAACTCACTGTCATCGACTCCGTTCTGATTCATAGCGAAGGCCCTACAGGACAGGGTAGAATTGACCCCCGTGGGCTTCCGAGTCTCTAAATCTGTGCAGGAACAGACGGCCTCATCTTCCTCCATGGAATGACTAGTGGTTTTGAACTGCTGATCTATGGCTACCAGCCCACTACACCAGAAGGGTTTCTTCCTCTCACCCTTGGTGGCATTTGAAAATGTGTCTGATTTTCAGAATGACCATGACTGGCATTTGAAGGAATTTAGAAACCTTGGGAGATAAAACCCGTGTAAGCATTTGGCTGCTCGATGAAAGGTGAGCAGTTCAAACCGATCCAGAGGAAGCTAGGAAAAAAGACCCGCCGGTCAACTCCTAAAAGGTTGCCGCCCAAAATACCCCGTGGGGCGCAGTTCTGCTCTGCACCACATGGGGCCGCCCTGAGTCCCCGTTGGCTGGACAGAAACAGGCCGGTTAAGAATGGCGTTGTAACTGTGCTATCATGTGAGTCAGAATGGCTGGACAGCAATGAGTTCTTCTGCATTGACTCGATGGCATTGATCATTGATCATTGATGTTGGATGGTTCCAGACAAAAGACTTGCCCAGGCCAAAATGCCCGTAATGTCTCCTGTGGGGAAAACTGCAAGAGAGAAATGATCCCGTTGCTCCTAAGAGAGAAGCAACAGAGTGCTGGCTTGTGTGCTCGGCCTCTTCTCAGGAACCAGGTCCCCAAAGGCGGATCATTCATGCCACCCCTAGGGAGATGAGAGGATGGGCATGCTGGTGGGTGGGGAGAGGGCACAGTTCTGTGACTTGTCATTCACCCGTCCTTCTGTCTGGGGTGTGTCAGTCCAGGGGGTGGAAGGGCTCTTAGGGCCTGAGTGCACCTCTGGTGCTGGGAACATAACCTTTGTTGGTTAAAGCACAGCGCTTATAGCAGATTTCAAGCCTTCTTTGCACAAGCATGCCTTTATCACTGCCCGTGTGCTCCTGACAGACTGTTTCTTGGCAACCAGACCTCTGGGAGATGTCAGATTTCAGGTCAGACTGAACCTCTTTGGCAGTCACTGGGGTCATTTAAAATTCTACAATTGAATTGTGCCCAAAGAGGAGGGCCATCTGATTCTACAAGGAGGGCAGAGAGGGTGACATCCCTCAGGGGTCACAGGCTGTGAGGAACATGCCGGGAGCTGAGCCGCCAGGGCCCTCTTTGTCTTGTTAGGATATGGAGGGCAGCCTTGGAAGCTGGCTCGATTCCGAGGAAAAGGCTCCTCCTTGCTTCCGGCAGGCCTGCGTTTTCCAGACCCGTGTTTTGTGTTAGACCACTGGTCCCCGTGCCCCCGGGTTGCATTCCCCTGTTCCTGGAAGGCTTCCTGGCCTGGGGTTTCCCTGGGATTCTGTGCTTCCCAGTTTGGTGACTCTGAATCCCAGTCCCTTGATTGCCACTCTTGACTCCTCTCCTGGTAGATTACCAAGGCCTCTGTGCCTGCCTGCGAAATGATGTCCATGGCCATGACTTCCTCCTGAGCCTCCCGGGCTCTCACCTGGACCTCTGCAGTGGACCTTTGTTGTCCCAGGTTCCCCTGTACCCCAGCCATCCTATGGATGAACAATGAGCTGATCCTCAGAGGCAAACCCCTCAATACTGCCTATGGGCCCAAACCTGTCTTCCCCGGAGACCTTTCCACTGGTCTCTCCCTTTCCTGTCAACACCAAATGAGTCTGCTCACAAGTGTCCTGTGACCTTGGGCTCCAGTCGCCCCCAGTGCAGCCTGCCCTGCAGAGCCGGTGGCGCCCCTTCCTGTGCTCCCACCGAGGCACACAGAGACTCAGAACTCTTCCACTCCCGCGTCAGGTCCAGGGCCAGGCGAGACGGCTGAATGGCACCGATGGTAGAGGCATTTAGGTTCTCCATCTCAAACAGTAATTCTGCCTTACGACCCCACTGCCATCTTTACCTGCCTCTCGCTTCAGAAGTGGTTGTCCTGTGTGACAAGTTCTCTCTTGCTCTGGCATCGACGGCCGCCAGCAGAGAGAGGTTTGTCGTGCCCCTAACTGGCCTGGTGGGGTTTCTGGATCTGAGCTCTGGCCGGCACAGGAAATGAAGGTGCCTTCAGTGAAGTCAGCCACTTCGTTACGGGAGCCATGCCCAAAGGGAAAGGTGCTCCTCCCATGGTGCACTTGGACTCGGGGACTTTCCCATCATTAGACTCCAGCTAGCCCGGCCAAACTCAGCTGGGATGGGCTCTGTAGGACTCCGGCAAGGAGGTGCAGGATATTTTCATTGGCTCAAGGAGATTTTTGCCTCACTTTCTTATGCACACTCCCTGTTCTTGTAGGTCGTTTTATTTATTTGTTTGTTTATTTTTTTAAGGAGGAATGCATTTTTCTCTGTATCCTGCTTGTTCTATATTTGAGAGTTGATCCTTTTATCTCTAACAAGTGCATACCGTCCTTTGAACTGGGTTTTCTGTAAATATGACCAAAGAAGTAGCTGTCCTATTTGTGCTGGGATCATTGTGGGGCCCACGCTACAGCACTGGGATCTTTTCAACACCTACCTGTTAGAGCACCTAATCTCTGGGTGGGGTGCTGTTTGCGGAGCTCTGTGCCACATGCTGGTGCATGACCATGACTGAAGCATGCCCCCTGGCCTTTGTGACCTCCTGTGGAGTTCAGCCATACATAAAATGAAGCTCTTGCACCAGTCAAACTGGGTAGGATGAGCATGTCACTCATCAGGGATCCGTGCCAGGCTCAGTGCCAACCCCTCTCCTTTCAGTATCACGCTGAAGCCTTATCACAGCCCCTTAAAAATGTTAGTGTCATTATCCTGATTTCTTTCTTTTTATTTTTTTTTCCCAGAAGGATAAAACCAAGACTTAGAGAGGCCCAGTCAATCCCTCAAGGGCACAAGGATGGCATGGGCAGGGGGTGGATTTGAAAGCAGATCTATTTGACTTCGGTACTCATACTCAGGAGCCTTGGTGGCGCAGTGGTTACAGATTGGTCTGCTAACCACAAGGTCAGCCGTTCAAAACCACCAGTGGTTCCACAGGGAAAAGATGAGGCTTTCTACTCCCGTAAAGAGTGACAGTCTCAGAAACCCACTGGGGCAGTTCTTCTCTGTCCTCCAGGGTCGGAACAGAGTCAATGGCAGTGGGTCTCCACTCATATCCAGAACCGCTGTTCCAAACCAGTGCTTCTCAGACTTTCAGATGCATGAGACTTGCCTGTGCATTTATGAAATTACAGATTCTGGTTTCTGTCTGGGTGGGGCCTGATATTCCACAAATACGATGTCAGACGAGGATGTGATGCCTCTGTTACCAAAACCAGCCCTTGAGCTGTGGAGGTGGCCGCTGCCCTGAAATTGACACAGACTCCTGGTGCCTCTTGTGAACAGAGGACATGTTGCCCAGACTGATTAAGCAGCACCCCTGCTGCGGCCCCCCAAAATGAGGGACTGCTCAGGGAGATGGCCCAAGTTTGTCACGGGAGATGGCCCTGTCCTTTCATGATGTCACGGCATGCTCCTCACCTACCAATTGTACCCTGTTTCTCTCCTTTCTGCCTATGCCCCTCTCGACCCCTCACACGTTGGAAACACGCTCAAGTTTCCTCCATCTAAATACGTTTTCCCTTGGCCTCCAGCTGCCACCTATTTCTGTCACCACCCACTCAGTCCGCAGCCCACACTCCGCTGGCTCTGCAGTCTGCTTGCGGCATTAGCCTGACCACCCTCTGTGTGAGAATCCCACCCAGGCAGCGCTCTAGCCCCAAATCTGAACTCTCCACACAGGGTGTCCTTTCTGACTGCTCGGGACTGCTCTATGTGTCATGTGGTAAAAGAACACAACACAACTCTTGCAACGCAGTGGTTGTCTACACGCGCAGCGAGCAACACGAATCACTCTCATCATGGCTGTGTAGTTTTGGCCACTGTCCTTGTGTTAGACTAGAGAAACAGATCTATAGACACTCATGGGTGTAAGAACGAGCTTTATATAAAAGAGCAATTGTATATTGTGTTACGGTTCTCTAGAGAGAAAAAAAGGACACATTAGATAGATAGATAGATAGATAGATAGATAGATAGATAGATAGATAGATAGATAGATAGATACAAGAAATAAACAGCTAATTAGTC